TATTGAAATTTTAGCCGATTGCATCCATTTCCCCTATTACACGAAACAAAAAATATTTTATTTATGGGTTTCACTTAAACATTTTTGCCAAAACATCACCCTTATACATTCCATAAGATAAACTACATAGGTCCTATAAAAATTCATATGGGCCCATGCATTAATGATGTCACGCTAAATCGAGGACAAATTTACCCCCCCCCCCGCCTATCGTGACGTCTTTCCTATACCTAATGCATTGCTTGTCACAAAATCTTAGACCCCCCCTCCCTTGTGAAATACTATATGCATCAACCCTTAAACGGTATCTATCCTCATTTATACATTTTATTTGACACATGATCTTCACAACTTTCTTATTTGACTGAGTAACCGTTACCCAGTTTCCTCCATAGGCACACGTTTACTCAAATTTGAATAAAAGCATGTTTACCCATTCTTGGGTATCTTCCCTTTTTAGCTGGACTGAGTGAGTGACTCAAAATGAGTCACCTTTATTAAACTATGAACCTCCTTTATCAAACTATCTGGCAAAAAGTAGGCCGAAGTTACGTCATCAGAATCGTTAAAATAGTATAAAAGAGAACTTTTTTTTTTCAAAGCATCATTTTTCGACGTCCCAGATGGGATTTGAATTCATCCGAGTTTTGGCACATTGTGGCAAATTCGAAACTCAAGCAGCGCTAAGAAATTTAATTTGATGTTGTAGAGGATCCTGATAGCTTCGTGTGCCGGCAGCAGTAGGATAAACGCTCCTATAGTTGCGGTACGTTAGAAGCGTTAGGTTCCTATAGTTGTGTATTGAGTCTCCATGCACAACTATAGGAGCCTAACGCTTCTAACGTACCGCAACTATAGGAGCGTTTCCCCTACTCTTTCCCTGACATTTAACATCCAACACAAGCTTGAGCATCGTAGCCGGTCCCTTCGGGGGGTTTCTTCGGTACCCGATGAGATCCTACGAAGTGGGAACAGGAGTGGAAAGCCGTTTCTTCGACAGGAATTTGTTGAGGCTCAGAAAATCAGCACCAAGGATGCCACATTCGAGGGCAAGAGGCAACAATCCGTTAGCTTTTAAACCGGCAATTTCATTGTTGTTGTACTTTCCATTGCATTTGATGTGGTTATCATGAAGTTTTTCTAACTTTTAGATCGCAGATGTATAATTTTCATTAGAAAAGATTGAAAATGTATGCATATTTACAATGAAAATTTGTTTGTTTTTTCACTGATTCTGATGACATCACACACAAAATGAAAGCCGTGGTTGTCATGACAACGATCTGCAAGCCTGTTGTTCTTTTTTTTCTTTATTTAACGTCAGTCTCTGTTCCGCAATCTAGTGCCAATCACCGACGGACATTGATTGCCATCCATTGACGGCAATCGAATGTGCAGGAAGGCAGCTTCCACACCTGCGTAGGAAATCGCACCCATTCAACACACATGGACCGGGACCAACGGCTTTACTTCCCTTCCGAAGTAAAGCCGTGACCAGAGATTTTTATTGACCCCAGACCCATTGAGGTGAGAAAGCAGTCATGCTTACCACTACACCACCGGCGCCGGCTCAAGCATGTTGTTGTTGTGATGAAATTGAAGTTGTTGTCTTTCTCATATTCATCTGTCAATTTACCCTATTTTGATTTTTTTGTATCATCGAGATTTTCAGTGTGGGAATCATTCATGCTCACTAGATTGATACAAAATTTGAAATTTTCGCTTCCAGTGCTCAAACAGTTTCAAATCGGTTCGTGATTAGCCTGCCGAAATTTGAACTCATTTGGTAAGAAACTGACTGGGCACAAACCATGTGGAGTTTATATGGAAATTACTATGGGAAAACCAAACTTTTTGTTTATTGTCGCCAAGCCTTTTAACAAATCGCACTGACATAGTAGCCATGATTTTTGTGCTCTATTGACACGCCAGAAACACCAATGTTGCCTGCTAATTTCCATATAAACTTCAAATGGTTTGTGCCATGTCAGTTTTCTACTAAATGCTTTCTAATTTTGGGAGGCTTATCAGAGCCCAATTTGGAACTGTGTGAGCACCGTGGAGTGAAAATTTTAAATTGTGCATCAGTCTAATGTTCGCCCTCCTTTATTTCTAGGTTTACACGTTTTATTCAAGATTGTACCAGTTCTGATAGCATTTGTACGAATGAGGATGGACAAGATTTTAAGTGCCAGTTCAAGGGGTAATCAACTCTGCACACTGTGCCGAAACACAGCATGACACACTGTTCGGAACGTTAGGGCACTCGTTGACAAGTAGGTCACAACAAATATAATATAAAACGGCATCACTGTTGACGTTTTGCCAATCGTTGCTATGTAAAGTACTGTAAGTATTTTCTGCACCATGAATCCGTTCAAACTAACAAAACTCAGTTCATCTCATCCGATTCGCGGCTTGTCCAAAGTCTAGAACAGCTTCAATTTCATTTTCCTCGACACCATAGTTTGGCGATAGAGTGTTGTCGATATGGCAGTCAACACGGCCGTAACGGGTTACCTCCAACGAGAGTTGGTCACATACCTAGAAGATCAGGTTGTCCAATACGACGGTTTAGTTGAGAATACGGTCGGTGAAATCGTTGAGTTTGCATTTGGTGCAACAGGCTAAACTGTACCGGCTGCATAGCAAATTTTGAAGAAGTTTGTTTGGGGTTGTCGAGCAGACTTCCGGAAGAGTTTCTGTGAGTAGGTTCTACTCTTTATTCCACACAGCCCTAGGAAAAAAGCTTTTAATTGCAGTGATTTTTTTTTACGAAAATCGATAAAAAGTTGGCATAAATTCAGAAACGATACAATCACTGTTCTAAGCAGTGCTGCAAAATCTCGACAGTACACGGTGATATTGACAATTCTGCTTTGGTCACTCATTTTAGCTAACAGTCATAGTCAAGGCAAACCATGTCAATTGTCAATGACAATGGTGTCAGTGACGAACATGTGCAGATTTGTTTATTAGCTAAATTTGTAACTAAATTAAATGACTTGAGCAAAACAATTACATGGATCCATTTTAGTGAACAAGTATCTACGTACTGAGCTACTTGGATAACAATAATGTGACACAGAATGTACTAAATTACACTTTTCATTACCAGGTGAATCTTTGTCATTGACGAAAAAATGAATGAGATTTTGACGAAGGTTTTTTTGAAGATCAAGTCTGTCAGTGACTATGTGACGAACAATTTTGTCAATATCGCGCGAAAGTCTGTCAATGACAATGACAAATCTCAGCACTGGTTCTAAGTCTAATCAACCTCCCACGAACAGGTGAATGTATTCGCAACACATACAACAAAGCCATAATCGAAACGGGAACGGCCGGAAGAATATCCTGCATCCTACGAAGGTTAAATATACATTTGGAACGAAAGAGGGCAGGATATTCGATAAGAGTTGAGCTACATTTACAAGCTTGTTATGCAGAATAATTTACTAAATATACTTCGGCCTAACGTAACCTTGCTGAATTTCGAAAATTTTACTCGCGGCAGAGTGAGTTTCGGTGCGCTTAGTGGTTTCCGTTTGACGGCTCTAAGCAATTTGCTGTTTAGCAGAGCCCATTGTGAAAAACAGATTTTCGGATTCCAATGCGGCTCATCCAGAGATTACGAGCCATCTTCTTGCATGGATTGCTCTGGGTCCGCACTAGGTACTCGACGCGTCATTTACATGACCTTCGTTCATCTTTCCATCCGTTCGAGTTCATTGTTTACTTTAGTTGGAGAGGATTTCAATGGATGCTGATAGCATTTTTTACCTCCATCGTTCAGGTTACGACTTCGTTTCTGCACACCTGCAAGGAATCAGTAATTCAACACCGTACCTATAGGTTTAATAGCTTTCAGTTTCTCTTTCACCTTCTGCTCCGAAAATGAGAATTTAAACGCAATCACAAAAATGTCATTTAAACTTCAGGGATGTCAAACTTATGGGATATTGACAGTTTGATTGGAAAACTTCAGCCTACTTTGGCACATTGGGCATACCGTGGCATAGCGTTTGGAACAGATGTAGATGTGCAGAGTTGAATACTCCTTTGTGCCAGTTACACTTATCAAGGATAAAATAGGGGAAATATTGCCAATAATATTGATGACATAAAGTTATATTGTCAATATATGAATACGATTATTGTGAATATATTGACATGTGTAACGCCCGGTTTACATGTATAGACCAAGGTTATGCGAATTGCTCAGCTTGTGGCAAAATCAGCGCGGGGTGCACGCTATTTCTGAACAACCCAACATTGAGTAGGAACTACTAATATCCGTCAAAAAATTGTGAAATGTTTGACCTCAACAGAATTAAAAATATATTCCAGAACCCTGCGAACTCATAGAACATAAGTCCTAATGTTAATATGTAGTCTACGATTTGATTGATTGAGGAATAAAAAAATAAAGAAAAAGTAGGGCAACCCAAAATTGAGTAAACAATTTTTGGTAGCCCTACTTCTGAGATATCTCTGTGAAAGCTTGCTTAGATGTCTTTAGAGCGAATAAAGATCGATCGATTGGGAATGTTTTATACTGGTGAAATAGTTTGTGTGGTCGTGGACTTTTAAGACTGCCCCTAATAAAAAATACCATAAACGAACGATAACCCAAATAATAGAACTATTCCACAAATGGTTTGGCTGATACCATGTCGTTAAGGAAAATAACCGGGTCGGAACTTGAACATATAATTAATCAACAAAGTAAAAAAAAATAGAATTCAACAACTCAATAGAACTAATAGTTTGAGAGTTCTCTGAGTGGTGGCCAAATTCCCTGATATTTCCAGGTTTTTCCAGACATTTTGAAATTCCCTGATAATTTAAGGTTTTCCATGTTTCTCCAGGTAGTTGCCACACTGCGATATCTTACTTTGGGATTCTAACTGGACCACACTTTAAATTAAAGCAATCGAAACAAATATGACCATGGCTTTCGGATTGTCCTAGAGCGTGAAAATACACAGCTGCACCGGTACGATAGCTAGACACGGGGGGCTATATTCAGCAGCCGAGCTTAACCTATCTCCTAGATAAATTAGCTATAGAGTACGTTCATTTGTCCTTCAACACAAAGAAGCTACACATGCGTAGTTCAGTGTAGACATAATATATACTGTCCTCAAAATTGCACAAATAAAAATAAAATTACGATTCATGTTATCGTCGGAAAAAAAAACAGGCAAAACAATCTAACTTATTTACAACCGAACAACTCTGATCGGAAACGTACCTTAATGCTCAATCCGGAGCTGCGGGGTCTTCCTTCCCCCCTACAGCTCAAATCAAGAATCGCTGAGGATATCCTTCAGTATCGAGCTGGAATTACGCGGTGCTTGGAAGGTCGTCTGCTGCTGTAGCAGCGTGGATTCCCCCAGCAGAATCGGTTGAACCGGAACGGGCACGGAACCCGCACCCGGTTCAACCGGATTTAGATTTTGATCTACCAATGACTGTTGTCGCTGAGTAGGTGTGGTGGTCCTAGATGAAGATGTCGTCGATTGTGATTGTTGTGGTTGGCTTTGGTGGGCCATTATGTTCAACAGGCCGCTACCGGTGGGGTTCACCGGACGCGGTGCGGATTCCTTTTCCAAGAATTTCACAAATGCTTCCGTGAGGCTCTCCTTGTTGTAGTTTCCTGCTGCAATGGGAAAGGATGTTAGAATTGTGTGTGTATTAGAGTAACGTTTGAGAATTACCTCCTGCCGCGGGAGAATTGCCGCTGCCCAGAATGCTGTGGAACCAACCGCCCCCGGACCGGTTCAGTCCCAGCTTGATGCATTCGGCTTGATCCATGGTGAGGACGGCCGAGATCAACTTCAGAATTTGATGCTTGTCGTTCTGATTCGGCGCAACGACGTATCCGATGACCAGATTTTTGACCAGCGACTTCTCCACCTTGTCCGCTTGACTAGCTTCCGTAGCGCGGAGGCGACCTTCGAGAGTTTCGTACTTTTCACTGCCCTTCGCCACTGGAAACGAGAATCGGAAAGCAGGAAGTGTGTTAGAATTGTAAATTGGTTGGGGTACAAGGTATAAGGGGAGCTCGCTTAGCAAAGAAACTTAGTCTCTAATCTTACAGCTTTCCATCATCATGCCCATTCTCGGTGTCGTCGATCCGCGGGTATCCGTCTCAGAAGAAAAAAAAATGCAAACACTGTTTCACTAACTGTCTTGCAGCATGCACTGACCTCGGAGAGAGCATAACATAAGTACTGGTAAGTTAAAGTAAGGAACCCGATTCGTTTGTGATTCGAATATCGACACCAGTACCTGATGTAATACTCAATCCGATTGGGGCCAGGATCATTCGGTTGGCACTATTCTATAGGAGGTTTTTTTTTAATCTGTTCATCACTCATTTTTCATGCTTCATTCGAGTTGCTTGCAATCAGTTATGTATGGTCGGTTATCGCTTTTATGTATAGTACAATGAACTAATGAAACAATGGCAGACAAATTACACTTAATTAAAAAAAAAAACACATCTAGAAATTACATTCAGCACATCTAAAAAAACAATAAAGAGAAGACACACATCGAAAAAAAAAACACAACGATGACTACGGCATGACCCGGGGAAACCCCAATCTGTAACGTGGGTATAGCGAACGTTTTCCATGCACTCCCGCTCAAACCACACCCACAAAAACCGAGGGGACGAGGGGAGGCTGGAATTCACCAAGGAAAAAAACCCACTGTTACAATTTGAGATTACCTCGGAGAACTCATGCGATCTCAATATGCTCTAGGCGCTGCTCGGCTATACAACAAGGCGGTTCATTCTGTTTCCGATCCTTACGGGTTCAACAATGAGATCAAAGCACAACGCACACACACACACACACACGCTCACATGGCAAATGCACACTGGTACTTACTTATTGTGTCTTCTGTTCTTCTTCGGTTGGTTTGATCGATCCCAGTAGGCTTAGCAAATTACGCACAACAACAGTGAGTCATTCATTTTTCAACATCGAGAGCAGCAGTAGGCGAGCAGGGGTAAATTTTGAAGCTTAATTTTTTGGTTGATAGTTCACTCTTTGGATCTAAAGCCGTTTTAGTTTGATGAACCAGGTTCGAATCTGGGTTAGTTTCTTCAAAATATCACTGTCGCGGTGAACTGGGTGAACTGAAATGTTGTGTACATGTGTATGTGTGACTTGAAATAGAAAAGTCAAAAAGGCAATGACAGCTAGCTGCCAAGCGATTGGTCAAAAGCAGTTTTGAGCTTAAATATGCACTGGGAATTGAATGTATGCTTGAAACTGATGAACATCGAAAAAAATTCGGGTTCGAACCTAGTCGTTCTTCAGGTTGCTTGGTGGCGAACCTAGGTTGGTAACTGGCGTTCAAACTATCAGTTTGACAGCTCTTAGGTTGCAACCCGGGTGAGGGTTCGCTTCAAACTAAAACGGCATAAGTTTCTTATTTTCTGAAGTAGATATGTTGTTTTGGGCATCGTGGACATTGAGGACTTCACTCGTCGTTTAGAAATACTGTGTGTGCCATGGAGGGAGGGAGGGTTCGATTCCCGCTCCAGCCTGTGGAACAATTCGTAAATCGGAAATTGCCCTACTTGTCTACAGTGTTTTGGTTACAAAATGGTGAGGTGACAACCTGGAAGGCACGTTCTCATACCTCATGCCTTCTCGAATCAAAACATCATGTCGACGTTCGCCACACGCCACACGACTTTGACATGATGTTTTGATATGCTGGGGGACTGGCCTAAGATGACAGCCCCTTTTTTGGCGGTTAGGAGACCTTACACTCTAAACATTGTTCACGATCGATTTATGTGAAATATCATCGAAGAACTCCTCAAAGATTTAAAATTGCCCAGCAGCTTGCTGCAAATATTGGACGGTAATTTGATTTTTTAGATTAATTTATTTATGATCATATGTGTAGCTAACTGTGCCTGTTCTTATTTTTATAGTTTCAGCAGCTGGCATCGGCATTTTGAGTGCGCTAATATGAGCAGATAGGGGAAATGGATGTAATGTCGGCCTAAATGCCCTAAATTCAGCAATTGACTAGATTTTCAATAGCGACCAAAAGTATCCATTAGTACCGATTTATAAATAGCAGATTTTTAGCGATGGGCCCAATCTTAGATCCATGGGCCAACATTATTCTCATTAAAAATTAACGAATCTCGTTTGGAGGATAATTCGAGCAGTTTTATTTGATTCTGCTTAAGGTACGTTTAGACTACCTGATTTGTTGATCTGATTCAAGCGGACGGCTCAATAAGTTTGTCGGATGCGTTCAAACTTTTTCGGCATGATGATTAGATTTGACGTTTGATTTTTCGAACGAAATAGGTTTGTGTTTAATTTTCATTCTACTCATTCAGAAAAAAACAGCCGCAGGTGAGGAGGTTTTCTAAAATTTCACGGATTTGAACCGCAAAGTGTTATTGTGTTATTGGCCGAAACATGCCGTAATGGCTTAGATCATGAAATGGTTTGCTGACGTAGGACAACGTCTGTGATTTCTCTATGGGGGTACACTTTGTGAAAACCAAAAAATGGAACATGTAACGAAATTATGAAAGATTTTGAACGTTAATAACTCAGCTGCCCCTGGACCAATTTCAATAATTTTATCACCAATCGATCAGAAATATTTCTACGCATCGATAGCAATGCTTCTGACTGTTGATTTTCAACAAGAAACTATTGAAAATTGGTCAATGTCAATCATTGTCCAAAAGCGTCGAAATAACTAACAAATACATCAGTTACGTACATGCATAAGCTGCTTCACCAACACAGTCATCAGAAAATCGTTTCTAGACGAAACATTTCGATGTAGCATTGCTGCTTTACCAACACTATCATCAGAGAGTCGTTAGCAGACGAAACAAGTCGAAGTGGCATTCGCCTCCGATCTTCGGGCGTGTGCGAATAGGGAGGTTGCATTGCGTAACATTTTGCACACTCATCGCCATATTCATAAACCAAACGCTCCCAACGACCACACAAAATGCTCTCCAGAGTTGTAATCTTGTAACCAAACTTGGAAGCAGGGGTGCAAGTGATTTTCATCGATTCTCTTCATCGACTTTTTGTTTGGTTAATAACTCGACTCGAACTCGATCAGTTCAACCCCCGTCCAGCAGCAGACGGGCCGAGGCTCTTGGAAGTGCCCAATCATTGAACCGAAGAATATGAGATTGTCCGGTCCGATTTGCTGATCCAACTGCCTACTCGTCATCATCATCTTCCAAAGGCTTTAAGCCTGTACTACCATCGGTCCTTTTCAGAGCCACCAAGATTTTCCAAAAGAGTTAAATTTCTGGACGTGTCCCAACTAAAATTCATATCAAAAGGGCAATCATAGTCATACTAAAGAGTATAAACAGAGAGAACCCCGCTCAAATTCCTATTCTTACACAAAACACAAGCTCCTGCTGCAGTTAACAAATAACATTTATTATAAAAGACTACGTAGGCCTACGTCACCATAGCGTACAACCATAGAGGTAACTCTAAGACTAGAAGGTCCCGAAGAAACGTGCTCAACTTTTTGGCTCAGCTCTGTTACTCTCATCGGTCCCAAGCCAATCGATGCACCCCTCGAAACATAGGAAAATCTACGAACCCCTCATTTTATCTGTCAAATTTTCATAGTGAATCAAAACAAACATAGTGTAGTACTAGAATTTCGACTAGAATGGGGCATGTTAATCGATTTGCTTGGGACCAATGGGCTAGTCAAGTAGTGAGCCAATTTTAAATCGTTAGTTTCGTATTGATTGTTGGTACAACCGCATAGGGCTGTCCCTTGTAGTTTTTTACTTTAAATCTTGAATTTGTGTGGTTTTAAGTGACACAGATGCGTCTTTTCAACTTCAGTTCATTTGAAATTTTTAATTATTATTTAAAGTTCCTAGTCCTATCAGGCCTGTTTTAAAGAATGACCAAGTTACACAGCCTACCGACATTTATAAAACTTCAGTAAAGTTTGGAGATTTACTGAGAAATTTGTTGAGCTTCAGGAAAGTTCGTAGATCTTCACAAAAGAACTACAGACCTTAAAAAAAAAACTGAATAGAATTTTAAATAAACTTGCAGAACTTCTGAAAAAAATCACAAGGAAGATCATAGAACTTTAGACAAATTTGGCGACCTTCAAGAAAGTTTGCAGGTTTTCAAATAAATTTTCAGAATCTCAGGGATGTTACTGGATGTTCACAGAAACTTGCAGAACTTTAGAGAATTTCACAAAATTTTTGAAACATGTACACAACCCAAGTAACAATTATGGTTTTATGAGGGTTCTGTAGACCATGATTTAGACTTGTATTCTTTAAAACCACGATAAAACTAGCAATGTTACCTGGGAAATTCAGGGAACTTCGTATATCTTCTTACAAATCTTTAAAACTTCAAAGAAGCTAAAATATGATCAGATAAAGTTTTAGAACTATAGGGAATTTAGAACAGCTTCAGGGAATTTTTCAGGCCTTCAGGAAAATTTGAAAGCCTACTAAGATTTTTTTTAGAACTTCAGAGTGGTTCGGAGATCTACTGAGAAATTTGTTGAGCTTCAGGGAAGTTCGTAGAACTTGAAAAAACTTCAGAAATTTTTACAGAAATTAAAAGACATTTGCAGAAATGCAGAAAAATTCACAAGAGAGATCGTAGGTGTTCAGAAAAAATGTTCAAAGAAATTTTCAAAACAACAATCAAGCTAAAATATTTTCAGATCAATTTGTAAAACTAAAAGGGAAGTTTTGCAAATCTTCAGGATAATTCGCAGAACGTCAGACAAGTCCAAGAATCTACAGTTAAATTTAAAGAATTTCACAGAAGTTTGGTGATCTACTGAAAAATTATTAAACATCAGAAAAGTTCGTACATCTTCAGAACAAAGCTACAGAACTTCTGAAAAAAAAAAAATTAATGAACTTCTGAAGAAATCATAATAATAGATCTTCAGATGAATTTGAAGACCTTCA